CACACACACACAAACACACACACAGGCACGCACGCACACACACACACAGGTAATTAACAGTATGTAGATCTAGCTTTAATCTAATCAAAGCCTCATTTCCCCAAGGGTCTGCACAAAACTGAATGCAAACAAACATACTTGTCTTTTCTCTTTCATCCAGTTCACTCTTTTCCTCCCTCGCTCGCTTCATCTCACCGAAGCGTGTTGTCATTTAACACACCTGTTGTTCAAAAGAATCCAAAATGCTTTTCTTTTTACAAGAAGACAGGTTGTTGCCATATGCCTGTTCAGGGTACTCTGCATCAAATAGATCAATTCATTTCAGGCATTTGAAGATAGACCGCGTCAACGCAGCGCATCAAGGCCATCCCATTCCGGAGGCTCCTTCAAAGGCAGCCGACAAATGCATTCTTTCATCCCTGAGCAAGGCTGTAATGGTTGGATCCTTCTCAGACCAACCTGTCCCAGGATTCAATGTGCTTCCATGATGAACTGTTTTTCAGTGACGAGACCAAAACATCAGATGATTACACTTTTATATCCGAGCTTCACCACAACCAAACAGCTAGCAGTTTACATTTTCCCAAAACTCATTAAGAACTCAGAAATATTAACAGGAATCAATGTCAATGTCAAGCAAAGCAAGGTAGCTAGTTTCACCTTCCGAGTCCCCAGACAGTCCAAACAGATATCTACACTCTGTGCTCCAATTCAGTCAGAAACTCATTTTACTACACAGGCTTTTAGTGCTGCTGTAGTAGCTGTTATTATTTCTGGAGCAGAGACATAGTTAAATCATCTGTAAAGTTCCTATGTGTGTGTGTTTCTGCAGCGAGTAGGCAGCTGCACTTGCCTGAGAAATAACTTCTGCCTGAGGGCTGCTTCTTGCCACATACTTAGGAGAGACAGAGCACTGCGAAGGGAGAGGAGGAGTGCAAGAGGATGAGAAGAGCAGAAACATTTCTGTGACTCGATTTCGCCCTCAGGAGAACTGAACAGAACAACCCCACAGAAAACCATCCAATCCAAAACAGAGACATGGACACGATGTGGGGACAAGTGGCTCCGTCTTTGCTCTTGGACATTTTTTTCTGGCTCATTGGATCCTTTTAGAAATGGCAGGCAGCAGCCGTTACAAGGATCTGCCTCTAGCGAGGACGACAGCGAAACCCATAAACTCACAAAAGTACATTTATTGTCCTATCTCATTTGGCTCATGTCCATTTGTGCTTCCTATAACCTGACTATTGCATCCCTGACCACCTCCATATGTCAGAGAGGTTCACTTTCCAGAACCTGCTCCACACATGGGACGCACCGTCAGCTGTTCATAACAGCTTGAAAAAGACGGCAACGTGTGAATTCGAGGTTGCTTTGGGACAAATATGCTAAAAGACATCTGAGCTGATTCTCCCTTTATCAGTTTGCCAATTTTTCCTATACTGCTGCACCTTCAGTCAATTAAAAGCAATCACAGCCTGCAGAAGCTCCCATAACTCCTTGCAGGGTGAATATGAGAATAAACAGGCCCACTGGAAATATGATTATTCTAACAATCATCTTGTGAACCTCGAGGCTTACTGTTAGCTGCAGTGCATTGGATCGGTTTAGGGACAAACTGTTGAGGATGAATTGGTACGATATACAAAAAATATTTTTGATATATTGGAATGAATACTTTGTGCATATTTGTATTACGATGTGAAATTTCAATACATTTTATTATAGTGTCTGGAAAGAAATTTCAACTTCAAAATTCTGAATTCTTGATTCCACAAGGTTGCCTGTGATTAATTGATAAATTAAGAAGAAAATTAAGCAAAATGATTGTTTGATCATTTAATTTGGGAAACATGAAAGCAAATCTTTGTGTGTTTGGAATTAAATATCTCATTAGAATGTAAAAGACACCACCTTGGTCTGAGGAAAACTAAAAATGGTGTTTTAAAAATATGTATTTTATAGACAAAAAGATTAACCTTCATTAACCTTCTTAACAACTTGGTCATTAATTGATATTGAAAATAAACATTGGTTGCAGCCTGAACCTTCAGACTTTCAGAGAAAATAAAATGACGTGATGCAGCAACGTTCGTTGCAAGGGAAGACTGTGCTTCAATTCTGTTCTATGAAAGTCCCATTTTATTCTGTGTAGATATTAAAAACTTCACAACTAGTCCTGTGCCAAAAACACAAAACACTTCCTGTCCATGTCAAATTTAGATATTAAGAGTAAGGGTACAAATCAAACTGTTTCTCAGGATGTCCTGGATGTGACCATATTAACATGTGGTTCAATGATATCTAATCTTAGGGATCAACCAAGGAAAGTCTCCTCTTTAGAATAGTGTGTTGAAGGCATCACTGAAGAAACTACACAGCTGAGAGTCAGACAGGTGCAGAGGACGACTCTAACACAACTCAGACTCTTATAAAAGGCAGCAGGGTGACATGTCACCGCTAAAGTCATTATAGGGCAGACAGGAAGGCATTAATAAGTATAATATAGATCCAGACAGCCACCAATCACCACACACACACACACACACATCACGGCAGCTGGTGCCTGCAAGCTACCATAAAAAGTCTGTGTCTTGCAGGAGATGAACAAAAACCTAAAAAAATCATATTACCATGATTTACATGTTATTTCCCTCTTAGATTTATTTTTTGCAGCTGCATTGACAACATGTTTTCAGTCTGCAAAGGCAGGACAGACAGTGAAAGCCACTAATGACACTGCGTCGGCTTCAGTTGCGTCAAACTCTGCCTGGTTGATATAAACAAAAATTATCTTGCACCTCTCACAATGCAACTCACTATCATCTTTGACACGGCCCCTCCCAGCCTGGTAAATGCCCCCTGTAGTCGTCACTGACAACATCAGGACGAGTTGTCAGGCTCCTTCAGAGACGTGGTAGAAATTAGAGACCTTCTCAGTAATTCATTATTCTCTAAATGCATGTTACCTTACAGTCACTCACACAAAGGTGAGAGCTGCACCAGCAGAGTGACAGCATTATGTAGAGATAGCAATATTAATTGAAACAGGATATGCTGTGATATGCAAATGTGAATGAACTGAAAAATGTTATATGCTTATATGCTTTCGAGGTCATGGTCATGGGTTGTTCTCACTAATTAAAAAGCCACCAAGTGTGCAGTAATGCATGTCCCCAAAAGAGGGATTGTTTAAATCATTCTGCAATGGTTTGGTGTTGGTCTAATGTTTAATAGAATGTTAAAAAAATATTATTGTCAATATAATTTTCTCCAGCCAAATGCTGTTTTTGTTATATTGCCAAAAGTTGCTCTTAATAATAGCTTATAACTTGTTTAAAAAGCTTAAGTGCATTTGATCATTTATTAAAGTCATTAGACACAGGTCAAATAAGTACTCACCTTCGAGCATTTACACATTTTCTTTAAAATCTACCGAAGCACCAAAAGATATAAATTAGTAATTATACTTGAGTAAAGATTTATTGTGAAGGAATAAAAACTTAGACCACTTTCATGCACAAATAAAGATTTAATATGAAGAAATAAAGAGCCTGACCTCTAACTTCATTATTAATATTGCTGCTGGAAACAGCTTCAATTCTTTAAAGCTACCTGATAGGGGTGTAACGATTCGTTTTAACAACGATTCGATTCGTATCACGATTCATGGTTGCCAATATGATTCAAGGACGATATTGGTTCATTCAGAACGATACGATTCGAATCGATTCAGTAAATTTTTAGCCAAAGATCCAACCAGCGTGACTGAAATAAATACCTGGATACTGGACAGTGCAGGTGAAGTTTCCTAGATTCCTGTAGTTTCTTGTAAGGGAATCAGGTATAAATTATGGATATAAACTTGTTCTCCTCTGCCATCCGCCATCATGCTATGTTTTGATATTTGCGCTGCTGCCGCCACGTGGCGATGAGGTCACAGACAGGCAGACTGAATCGAGTAACGTTTCACGCCTTTATCATTAAAAGTGCTAAAAAAAAACATCCATATAAAGTCTGACGTGCTTAAATCCAATGCGATGTTTTCCTAGTATCGATACAATCAATCTACGGCTTAAGAGAGTCATGAAGCGAAACACTTCATTGCAGGTACAGGAGCTATGTGAATGTAATACACAACAGGGTCACCCCAAAACCCACCAGCACTGACATTTTCAATGAGTCATTAATCCATTGCTCAAATTACAACCAGGGACAGTGGTGTAACCATCACATTTAAGTTCTGTCAGAGTGGTTGGCTAATGGCTTGTGTGGCAGTCCTATGAAAGCAATGCAGCCCACTCAGTAGATCAGTCATCAATACCTCTATGCCTTTTTAAACTAAACATGTACTGTCATAGGCAGCAGAGTCAAAAGCCTTCTTATTTAAGATACAACACAAAATGTGGTTGCAATAGAAGTGTTAAAACAACACAGGAGCACCAGTTACAAATCAAATTTTAAAAATGCTTTCCTATAAAGAGGAGTTTTGAGCAGTGATTCAAAGATAAGTAGTGAGTTGGTGAGCCTAATCTTATCATTTTGTCGGCAACATTAGCAATCGTCTGTAATGTTTTTTCATTTTTTTTAATTTGTTATAATAGCAGCTTTTCTGGTTCAGGAAGCTGAGGATCATGGTTGTGTTTCATTTTAAAGAGAGTGGAGGAGCAAAACGAAGAGAACTTCAGGAAGAAGATGATTGCTAAGTTTGCAGAGGACGATCGGCTCGAGCAGATGGGTGACCACAAAAAAAATTTGACACAATGTATCCACAGACGCAAGGTGGAGAAACTGGTACAGGACAGGAGACAACAGCATGGTGTTGAGTTAAAACTCAGAACAGAAGGCAGAAATAATCTTTAAACCAGAAAAACTACTACTTCCTACTACTTCTTACTCACTCCCACCTCCCACTGCTCCGTGTGGTCACTGCTCACACATGATGGGTTAAAGGCAAGTGGCAACAACACTTTTTTAAATAAAATCTTTTCCGAGCTCACCTTGTGTTTTACGTATTCTGTTTCCTCATCACGTGGCAGGAGACTGCTGCTCGCCTCAGTGTCTGTAACATGAGGGTGAAAAGGTTCCTGTCAACAAATGTCATGTTATCATTGAATGTAACTGTGAATGTTGTGGTGTTAAACAGCAAAACACAATCGATCTAATATTTCCAATTATTGCTGTCTATACGAATGTGAATTTTTCAACTTGCTATTTGAAAAAGTGCAATGGAACGCCACTCAGGGAAAATTCATCCAGCCCAACTTCACTGGATAGTGTAGTGCTCGTTTGTGAGATTGAGTGACAGTGCATGTGCTCTCTCCCTCTTAAATCCCGTCAAAATAAAAAGCCTAACGGTGTCTGTTGCCTCATTGTCGTCACCCCTCCTCTGCTTTATTTATGTATGAACAGAGGCCGCACTGATCACAGTTGAATCGTCTCATCACGAGCCAAATAAACATCCGTTTCTCACGATCAGCCATGTTTGTTTACATTTGACGCCGTGCCAACACTGTGCATTGGAACACTCAGAAAAGAACGGATGCTGCACCAGGACAGAAAAATACATCATACATCTCATTGCAATAAGTATTTTCCCGGACCACTGTCCGCACCTTTAACTTCACCTTTACTTCTACCCCACAACTAATGATTCATTCATTCGAAATATTTTCAGCCTTGGACACTTTATGACCTCACCTGGTGTCCTCAGTTTCCTCATCTTCCCTCGGTTTCTGAAACAAGAGGGGGATGCACACTTTTGTCTTTCGGTACTTTGCAAGAAATGTGTACGAAAGTATTTAAAATCATATGTTTTACCTTTTCATGTTTCCTCCTCAGCCCTTCATTCTTCTTGGCCGTTTGCTGCTTAGTTTGTTTTCTGGCGATGTCTTCCACCTCAGTACACCTAAGCAACAAAGTACCTTCAGTACAAGTACTTTGAAGTACTTGTACTTCACTTCCTGTGACACTTACTCCACAACATGCCCAGAGTGATAACTGCACTTATTTTAATGTATTTAAATTAATATAATACCAATAAATTCACGAGGTTTAATGTGTCACATTCTCAAATCATTCTCACAATTGTTTTGCTTCCCTGTCCATTTTGCCTTATATTTGAATATGTTCCTAACACATATTTATATTTATCTTTATTTATATTCCTTTCACACTCTACAGTTTCTAAATGAGGCGGGTACACTTTGATTACACTGCTCTGTCTTGATTTATGAGTGAGTTGATTTCGCTTCGTCTCACCTGCTGCTTCCGTTCTTCTACTTCCTGTCTGGGCCGAACACAGCTGCCTTCAGTAATTGGACCATACCAACAGCTGCATTAGCACAGGGGTGGTGGTGTTTCTCAACGTGGGGTTTGGGTTTCAGCCGGTTGGTGATATTGTTTACCCCTTTTTGTTTTCAAATGGTTTGATCAGGTAAATCTAACAGAAGGTACGCAGGAAATGTGACAGGTGTAATAAAGTTGAGAGAAATTCAGTTTATACAGAGGAAACATTTCACATAGATTGAAATAAAACAAACAGGACTGGAATGTTGAGATATTAAGATAATGTGAGGAATATGAAATATAATAAATAAGAGAAAACAAATGATTGGGTCCATTCTACAGTCAGGAGATTCAAATCCCTTTTACACAAGTATTAAGTTGTGATGATGATGTCGGGAACTATAAGTTCAATCAGCTTGATGTCACTGGATGTGACGGAGAAGAAATCAGACGATCATGTGATGATTCAGACCTGGATCAGGTCAGGAGAATAAAACAGCAGTTTTTTATATTTATGTGGGTGTGTCCAGTCAAATGTAATGTCAATATAATGAAGGGTGGCCCGGTGTTTGCTATGCCAAAGGAGATTTGTTAGGAAGCAGTGTAGCTTTCCTAATCATTTAGAGAATTGGAACAGTTCTTATTATGACGGCCGCTGAAATACTTTAGGGTCATTTTACTTAGTTAGGAAGGTTCCTCAGCAAAATGGACTTTCTGATCGCAGCCCAGTTTTACCTGGTAAAGGTCTTACAGCAGATATAAGGGTCTGACAAGTTCACCTTATCTTGCTGAGCTGTCACTTTCCTTTTGTCTTAAAAGTGTATGTGTGTGTGTGTGTGTGTGTGTGTGTGTGTGTGTGTGTGTGTGTGTGTCAACTCTCAGCAGCAAGCACTGAGTGGGAAGACAGAGAGCACAAACAGTAGCTGCTCCAAACTCCCAGCTTTGACAATAATGCACGCTGGATTAGATGTTCCAGTTATTCTTTAGCAAACTGCAACACCCACGATGTACAGTGGTCCCTGCAGCCCTGAGAGCATCTTCTGCAAAGTTCATGTGAGGCCAGAGATCATTAATGCGTCTGTGTGGAACGTGCAACGAGGCAGGAAGGCTCGATACAATAAAGATTATTCAGGCTGCTTATGGGTCTGTGTATCTTCAACCCAGTTTCATTTGGTTTCAGGCAAAACAGTCCGAGCCAAACGAAGGACACTTTAAACTTTAGCCTATTATTGTGTGTTGCTTTTGCATGAGGTTTAATGTTAATTAAAATGAACTCAAAAGCCTTTTCCTTGGAGTTGGACCCAAACACAACATGGTTTAATTTTTGTTTGTTGGTTTTATGTTTGTTAGTGAGCAAGATTACACAAAAAAAACCAGAAAGGATTTCCACAAATATTTGATTTCTTAGAGAATAATTTTTAAAATGTGCGAGTTTTTAATTCAAAAGAAGTTCCACAGGGGGCATTGATGAAGGTAAATCGAAATAATGTTGCAAAATATAAAATACAACCTTAAAAGATCACTGTTTTTGTCCTTGGAATAAAGAAAAGAAAAAATGACAGGATTTCATTTCACTTGAGCTCCACAGCTTGCAAAGCAGTTTATACAGTGAGCACACACTGGAGCTACTACACGAATTATATCAACTGGCAGCTGAAAGCAGCATGGTCCTAATGTTGGCTGCTACAGGCCAGACGTAGATAAAGACTGAAAATGTAATGAGGGTTTATTTCTGGGGGTAAAGGTTACCATTTCTTTCTTCATTATTTGATTTGAATTTCTATTCCACCTTATTTCTAAATCTAATTATGATCTAATCTACCCCCCCATCTCCCAACCACAACACTGAGCTGAAAGGCTGCGTTATTGTGCCGTTTATCACTGACGTTAATCAGAGGAAAAACAACAAGCACTGAAGGCAACAGCTAATCTATTGTCTTGTTTTTCCAAAGTCACGGCTAGAAGAAGAGGCGCCTCATTCTGAAAACCTGTATGTCTTTCTATACTTTAATATAACGCATTAGTTACTGTGTTTGTTTTCTTTCTCCGTTATTTAGCAGGGTTACGCAAAAACTACTGGACAGATTACCACAAAACTTGGTAAGGAAAGAACCCATTGAATTTGGGGTTGGATCCTTTTTAATTATTAATTTTCATCAAATTTGAAATGGGGACTGTTGGGCCCTGGCGGATGTACGTGCTCTACTGAGTGCCATTCTGGTTAAAATTGCATATTTGCTTTAATAAATTAGGGAAAAGCTTAAAGAATAAGGTGAAATATTTAAGTTAAAAAGCCAATAAATATGCAAAATGTAAAGATGATTAGAATGAATTAAGCTGTTCTCTCAAGTGTGTTCATGTATTGTACACATACCATTGTAGGGATGATGCGTCTTCTCAGCTGAGGCGGCGTCAAACTCACACAGGACAAATGAGCACAGGACACGTGTGTGGGACCTGACTCGAGCGCATTTTTATTGAACGTTTATAACTGTTAAAAACATGTATAAAATTGGTCCTGTTTCAGAAACAAGGCACGCATAGTCATGTCAATGTTCAGTGTTCATGTCATTATTAGCATTATCATTTATCAACATCATCATCATCAGTATCATCGCACGTTCCATCTCAGTATTTGTCTAATAGTAGTATCAAGCATTCCCTAATATAAAAACACGTTCCAATTTTTTTTTCACAGAGGTTAAATTTTATTCCGAGCAGCAAGACAATATTCATGCAAAGACGGGAGTGGAGGAGAAGATGCGAGCTGACTGGACTGATGGGTCTTTAATAGTAGGTCTCCCGTTCCACCCAACCTGGACACACGGCGGAGGAAAACAAACACACATGATTTAGAGGCAACTTCTTGCATAGATTGGACAGTTTTAATGATTTATTTAAAATCATGCAAAGACAGTGGAGGAAGACAGATTTACAAAAGGATAAGACCCACGTTTCTCCACCCTCACTTTTGGAGAAACGTGGCCCAAATGTGCAGAAGAACAAGAAGAAGGAAAGAGTATAAAGTAATGGATTCTGTGCTCACCTCCTGGGCTGCGTCTGAGGATCAGCTTACGGATTTCATCATAGATAAAGATAAGCAGGGAGTAGGGCAAGGCGCAGAACCACCAGTTGGGCCTGGAAAACACACACACAAAAGACCGTGAGAAACTGATCCAGGGCCCCGGGCCGAGAGTCAGCTAGCTTTGCACAACCGGCTGGGTTTTTGTGTTTTACTCACTTGAGAGGGTACATTCTGAGGGCAACGTCCATGCCAGGGCAATAAGAGAGGAAGGCAGCCAGGGCTGTCTCCTCAAACAGCCCGAAGATCAGGATCTTGTTCCTGAAACACACAAGGGGAACAATCAAGACTCTGTTTTTGTGGAATTTAAACCTGAAAATAGCTGGATTTTAACCGCTTGGTGCCAGGATTCCAAACTGCAGCTAACAGGGGACCAAGGCTAACCGCAGTCTGCAATGCCTTTTAAATACAGTTCATGTTGTTTACAGCCTGAAATAAACAGGGAGGTTAACTGGAGTTCCTCTGAGAAAAGCAGAACGGCTCACATACTGTGAAATAAGAGGGCGTGATATTCACATAAGCTGCTGTTTCAGTAGCAGAGCAGAAGTGATTTTTTGGCCAAAAGAACAGCCACGGCTCAGATTTAGCGATGGCAGAGGAGACTGAAACTCACCTCATGCCCTGCTGGAAGACAGAGTTCCTCCTGGTCTTACAGATGATCAGATCGGCCCACTGCACGATGACGATGCTGACGAAGAACGCCGTGTGGCAGGTGAACTCCACGATCTTCCTTTGCTCGTAAGTCTGACGGGGGAAACAAATATTTAAACCACGTGTTTGACGGCCAAATCTTAACCTTTACTTGTGGTCTACGCAAGAAATGCCACCCACCCACTGCTGGCCATAGCTGTCTTCCAGGTCGTTGATGTATTTATTATCCCAGGACACTCGGATGCCCACCAGGGTGGAGGGCAGGAAGCCGTTTTCAGCCAGAATCACAAAGTAGGTGAAGAAGCCCGCCAGCGCCTGGATCATACCTGCAGGAACGAAATGTGAAAGCATGACCGAGCTTTATCTAATAATTAATAATCTTTGACAAATTTCAGTTTCACGCTTTAAGAATAAATAAGCTTAATTCATTCTGTTTAGAAATTGAGATTTAGTTTAGGATCAATAAACGATTAGGTGGCAAATTGATTAATTCAATTTGGGGGATTTTCTTTGAGGACTAAATCATTTGTCACCGGATGAATGACTGAGTAAACAAATAAATGAGATTAGGTCGTCTTCTGAGGAAATTAGAGGCCTAATCCAATTAATCAGATTTACTGCTCTTTTAGTAAATATAATTTTGGAATGCATTATAGGATAATATATTAAAAGAATACTACAGACGGGTTTATATCTGTGCAGTAAAAATAAAAAGGACAACACAAATGTCTCAACAAAACTAGGTCCAAAAAGTTACTTGCGTGTCTTTTGCTCTTATAAGGGAGGTTCAGGAGGCTGACAAACAATTTTTGGCGTCATTACCGAAGAGGGGGAAATCAAAAGCCAGAGGCACTGCTCTGTCGTCGCTCTGTCGTCACTCAAAACACACACAAACGCACACACTCTAGTGCTCTATCAGAGCAAGCCTATTTCTGGTGCATGCCACTCTTTGGGTTATCTCGGACAGATACTGGGATGCCTTTTCAGAAGAAACTGCAGAGCAACCGTGGATAGCATGGTTTGATTTCGGCTGGGACCTTGGTAAAGCCGGATTTGAAATTACCGATCTGTCCGTAAGCGATGCTGATGAGCCTCTCGTTCACCAGTTTGTCTGTTTTGGGGTTTCTGGGCTGCCTCTTCATGATGTCGCTCTCAGCTGCTTCGTAAGCCAGGGAGATAGCAGGGACCTGGGAGACAGATAACAAACTTATTGACGTAATGGAATATATACACTCATGAATGTACTTTTTTTTTTTTACATTCCATTGTCAAGATGGCGAAAATGAACACTAATGCAACACAAAGGTGATCGAGAAAATGAGTCCGCACCATGTCGGTTCCCAGGTCGATACAGAGGATGGTGACGGTTCCCAGGGGCAGAGGGATGTTGGCGATGATGAAGAAGAGGAAGGGCGTGATCTCGGGGATGTTACTGGTCAGAGTGTATGCGATGGACTTCTTCAAGTTGTCAAAGATCAGACGACCTGATCAAAACATAACGTACACGAATAAAGTCATTGCTGTGCAAAATAATCTGACAAACAAAGAATTTTTGCAAATTAAGAATTAATTCAGGTTTTAACTTTTGAGCACAATCTCTTACCTTCTTCCACTCCGGTAACGATGGAGGCAAAGTTGTCGTCCAGCAGGATCATGTCAGCGGCCTGCTTGGAGACGTCAGATCCAGAGATCCCCATGGCAACACCGATGTCAGCCTTTTTAAGAGCAGGAGAGTCGTTCACACCATCACCTGTCACGGCCACGATGGCGCCCTGCAGAGGGGAGAGGAAATGGGTTATTTTGTGTTCGTATATATTGAGTGGTCGTTGCCCTGAAATGTTACGATGGATATGTTATTTAAAATCTACTTTGAAGACTCTTATATATTAGACTGATTTTGTGTCTGTATAAAAAAAAGAACATGTAACTTCCTTATTAGAGAAGATCTTATTGTGACTGCAAATAAAAAGAAACTTCGAAGACATGACTTTTTGAAATATTTGCTTTAAGAATATTTCACATCCCCTCAGGTAAATAAACAGCTGAACACAAAATGTTCTACACAATTGATTGGATATTAAATTACATTTCAGTTCACAATAGTTTTCTACTTCTGTCTGCTTGAAGGACGATACTTAACTTAACTGTGCTCCTTTAAAAACAGATTCTGCTCTGATTTAATTCAAAACGGAACCTGAATACTCTGAATACTCACTCGTGAAATTAGATTATTTTCCAGTTATTTTGCAAAAATGTATCATTCTAACAATTCATACAAAACTTTAAATTATAATTAATGGACAAAGCCAAGCATGAATAATCATACCACTTAGACATCAGTCACCACAACAGTCCTCATAAATAAGCATTAAGGGTTGTATCAAATATTCATGTGTGTATTTACATAATACGGTCCAGGCCCACGCCGCATTGGTCAAACTGCAAGAAAGGATTACAAACACACCTGTCTCTGGCAGCCCTCCACGATGATCAGTTTCTGCTGCGGGGACGTCCTGGCGAAGACGATCTCCGTATGATACTTCAGGATGTCGTCCAGCTGCTCTGGGGCCAGATCCTTCAGGTCTCCGCCGTGGACAACACAGGCCTTGGCGTCTCTGGAGGGAGCACACAGCCGTTAGGTCACTAACGCATTCAGACATGGACCCACACAGCAAAATGAACCCGGTTATATGCTAACAGGGTTTCTCAGTATTGCCCATACCTCGGGTTGACTTCATTGATTGGGATGTTCAGACGAGCAGCAATGTCCTCAACGGTTTCGTTGCCTTCAGAGATGATTCCCACACCCTTAGCAATGGCCTTAGCTGTGATTGGATGATCACCTGTCACCATGATTACCTAGGAGAAGGGAATGGTGTGCTGATGAGTTTAAGGAATCAACACGGCATTAATGCATTCAAAATACAAATCCATGAGCAACTGTCGCAAAAGTAAAATGTGGCTTTTTGACATACCTTGATTCCAGCGCTCCTGCATTTGCCGACAGCGTCAGGCACAGCAGCACGAGGAGGATCGATCATGGACATGAGGCCGATGAAGCACAGCTTCTCAGTGGGGAAGTTCACTTCCTCAGTGTCAAAAGCAAAGCCCTCTGGGAACTGGTCATCGGGGAGGTTGAAATGGCAAAAACCTGGCCGGAGCAGGACAAGAACAAAAAGTCAAAGACGGAATCGTGGCGATAATATTGAATTTGACCTTTATGCCAAATCTTTAAATAGTAGATCAGTATCCTGCATGCTTACCCAGCACTCTCTCTCCCAGGCCTCCCAGTTCCAGGTAAGCGTTCTGGAAAGCGTCTTTCATCTCGTCATCCAGTGGCTGCTCTTTGCCCTGCATCATGATGGTGGAGCAGCGGTCCAGGATCCTCTCTGGGGCTCCTTTCATCACCAGCAGGTGCTTGGACTCTCCCTCAGATGCTGAGATCTTATGAATGGAAAGCTACGGACACAAAGGACAGATACAAGAGGGAAGCGTCAGCATCCGTGCTTTTAAATATCGAAAGTAGAAGGGGAATGGCTTGATATACGTTTTTTTTAAAATTATAATTTCTTAACTATTGAAGAATTTAAGATTTATTTTTCCAAATGTCTTTTGCAGAGTTCATTTAACTTTTCTGTTTTACCATCAACATAAGGTGGAAAAAAACTGACAAATAATATTTTAATAAGCCTATGACATTTACATTTTAAAAATATCCAAAAACAAATTAACTGCACCTGAAAACAACTCAAAAAAACAAATTGTTTCCGTTGCCTTCAGATTAGAAATACTGACACCTTCATACCTGGTATTTGTTGGTGGAGTTGAACGGGATCTCTGAAATCTTGGGGTTTTTATCTCTCATTTCCGAAACTGATCCGCAGCACAGCTCGATACATTTGAGCAGAGCTGACTCAGAGGCGTCACCGGCAACATCTCTCTGGTGGAGGAACACAGGAGAACATCTATCATACGCACAAAGATTTCTTTCCGTAATAAATCGGTGGGCTTGATAAACAGCAACACCATGTTTACCCTCCTTTCACTCCTGAACCTGTGGGGGAAAGAATAATGAGCAGTGGAGAGAGCCACAATGGCAGCCAGACATTTACAGTTGATTAACACACACAGATACAGTACATGCACGCACACGCACACACACACGCACACACACACACACAGCTACAGTGGTGAAAACCAAGGAAATGGTTCCTACAATGACTTACTGTGTGTGTGTGTGTGTGTGTGTGTGTGTGTGTGTGTGTGTGTGTGTGTGTGTGTTGGGCGGAGTTGAGAATAATTATGTGATTGCAACATGTGTGCATATACTCCTGGGAGAGTGGAAGCTGGAAAACAAGCCTGTTGGTGTGAGCCGTAAACATCTCTATAAAATTGGAACTACATAATCACTGAAGAAGTTGTAGAAAGTTTGGAATGTTTCATGTTTTCAAATCATCTTTATTAAAATAATGAAAAAGAGAACTAAATAGATAAATATTTGAATATTTATGTGTCTGAAACCATTTTATCCTCTTTGAAAAATGGAAGACATAATGAATAATATCAATCACAAATAAGAAGGAGAAAAGCACAATATGAGGGAGGAACACTTGGTTTTGGTGTCATTTTGGAATTCTTTAAAAAAGAGCACATTCAATTTGCAAATGAGTGAACAATGCAGGACCTCTAGCTCGTTCCTACATCATGAGCGGAGAAACTTAAGGCTGAGAACAACAGAGGAGGCTTTGTTGCTGTTGAACAATAATAATACAATCTTCTGTTTTTAGCTCTCAGAGCCAATTATTTTCTACAGAGCTCATGTGATCTGAAGGTTCTCTTGATGTTTGGTGTCATTTATTCAAGTGAGCAGAAGAAGAGGAGTGTAAGGAGTATTAGCGTACCTTCAGGATGGGAATGATGGCCTGCTCGGCCAAGAAGACGGCACGGTTGCAGAGTCCAGCGACTCTGGCCAGGGCAGCCCAGGTGGCTGAGCTCCTGTCGAAGGAGGCGCCGCTCTGGTTCTCTGTGGTGTCGGCCTCGTGGATCTGGTTGTCGAACCACATGTGGGCCACGGTCATCCTGTTCTGAGTCAGGGTGCCGGTTTTGTCGGAGCAGATGGTGGAGGTGGAGCCCAGGGTCTCGACGGCTTCCAGGTTCTTCACCAGGCAGTTCTTCTTGGCCATACGCTTCGCAGTCAGGGTCAGACACACCTAGAGAAGGGATTGCTCGGGTTAGTCGGAGAGCTGAGTCACCGTTTGGATCCACTTTATACCCAAGAAACAGCAGGACTCACAGTGACAGTAGCCAGGAGACCTTCTGGCACGTTGGCGACGATGATACCGATGAGGAAGATGACGGCCTCCAGCCAGCTGTATCCAAGGATGAGGGACAGGACGAAGAATGACACGCCGAGGAAAACAGCCACGCCGGTGATGATGTGGATGAAGTGCTCGATCTCGATGGAGATGGGAGTGCGTCCGACTTCGAGTCCAGAGGCTAGAGTGGCGATGCGGCCCATGACGGTACGATCTCCGGTGCTGATCACGATACCACGAGCAGTTCCTGGGGTGAGAAGGATTTTTTATGACATCTCTGACTCACTGCAGTCCCTCTGAACTACATGTCTGTCTCTGAAAAGCCGCCGCCATACCTTCAACACAGTTGGTGGAGAAGAAAGCAATGTTCCTGGTCTCCAACGGGTTCTCATTGGAGAAGTCAGGAGTACGAGTCTGGGGCTCTGATTCACCAGTCAGAGAGGAGTTATCCACCTGAGGAATGAGACATAGACTTTGATTTATAATAAAAAAAATAAATGAAAACAAAAGGAGAAGAAAAAATATATAAAAACAGGAAGATGACTGCCAAAATACCCATTGCTAGAGGAGGTAAACAAAACATTCTCCTCCACCGTCATTCCTTTTTTTCTGCAGTTGTCAGGTCTCAGAATGGATCACAGACATGATTTTTTCACCATAATAAGTGAAATGTCACTGTCTTGTAATTAAATATTAACGAAAAAGATCTGAAATCCACATTAAAGACACAGAAGTAGCAATTTAGCACTGAGCTTAAATAAAGTCGTCTCTTAAAAAGGAAGCGCACATCACAAATCTAATAAGGTTCAAGGTTCTGACAAATAGATCTGTTTTTCAAGTGTCAAACAAGGCGCAGTGGTAGACAGAAATTCAAAAAGTCAAGGTGCCGCTGTAATGTTTTGAGTGAGAAGTGGCTTTCAAGCTAAATTGCGAAAATGTGGATCCTAGATAGAAGAAAACCGCTCGTGTCCAGAGCTGCCCACCTTGCAGCCGTGGGCGGAGATGATTCGGAGATCGGCAGGGATCCTGTCGCCACCTTTCACCTCCACTAAATCGCCAACGACCACCTCCTCGGCGTTGAGGCTCTTCTTTTCACCATCACGGACGACCAGGGCTTGCTACGAGACAAGATGGGATGGAGACGAACACTTTTTGTATGAAAAGGAGAACAAGAGGTCAGTGGATTGATTTCCAGGGCGTTTAACATGCCGTCTCATCCATTCCCTCATGGGAATCCCGACATTATTATAATAATAAAGACAATTAAGACAAACTCCAAAATTCAGACGTCAAGAGGGCTCCTTTTTTTAGGCAATGTGATATCTTAGAATCTTAGAAGACGTATGGAAACTTGGATGAAACCAAAAGACGATAAATGAATAAAAAGGTTTAAATTGCAAGGTGAGGGGTACCTGTGGGACCAGGTTCTTAAAGGAGTCCATGATCTTGGAGCTCTTGGCCTCTTGGTAGTAGGAGAAACAACCAGTGATGATGACGACAGCAGAAAGCACAACACCCAGGTACAACTGTGAACAGACAAAAAAAGACATTAAAAATACCACTCAAAAACAAGAAAAGTTCCACATCAAGATAAAACCATGCACCATATTGTCACATATTCTTACATTATCATTGGCAGGCTCATCCTCCATTGCAGCCTGGATACCATAGGCCAGGAAACAGAGGATGGCACCAGTCCACAGGAGCATGGAGAACCCGCCAAACATCTGGATGAACAAAGAGCAGAAGGGACCTTTTCACGACTGGAATTTATGCAACTTCAAAATTAGACTGTGGTTACATCTAATGCTTAACACGGAGGATAAAAAAACAGAAAGCATCGATATCAACAGTGAGGATGTTACCTGTTTGCAGAATTTGACCCACTCTGGGGTGGTGGGAGGAGGAGTGAGGGCGTTGGGGCCATCACGGGCCAGAATCTCAGCAGCCTTTGCACTTGTCAAACCCTGATATGAGGAGAACACACAAATTCAAATTCACACACGTCACACTTTCATCCAGATTCAAAGACGTGACTGATAACAATAATGGAAGTCCGGTGAATGGCCATTTCTAATTCTAAATGTCATTGGAAGCACAGCCCTATTGTTTGCCAGCCAACTGCACAAGTAGACTGACACTCCCTGACATATATTTAAGTCCAAGGGGAGCTGTAGGTGATGCTGCGTTGCCTAGCAACACACAATCAACAGTAGAACGTCAGTCTCCTTCATCAGCAGGTAGGAAAAAGAAAGCGGCGGAAGAACGAGGTAAAGGCCAAGACGAGGTGAACAGTTTCATATGAAATCAGGGCAGGGGGAGGGGGGTTATGTTTGTGCAGCTAATTAATTATTCACGACTGCTGCATATGAGCGCACGCAGAGCCCGGAGACCCCAGTTTAGAGGTACTGATTAAGCATTCTCCTTGATCTTTCCGGCATGACCAGGACACATTTGCATGAGGGGAGTGGGCGAGCTGGAGTGTGTGATTAAAGGTAAGGGGGAGGGGGGTGTAGGGTTGTTTTAAGCCCCGATCATCTCTCCGTTCATCTGTTCACACCTTTCATCAGGAGGCTTCTGAGGTGACACTTGTAATGAGCTCACATTTCACACCGTCTGTCAATATTTCTATCGGACTAAAACAATAAATTCAAGAGATTTCAGTTACAGCTGTTTACGAATGAAACATATTAATTAGCAGAAAACCAAGAACGCATCTAGTTCTTTTTTAGATTTATTTTGCTTTTTTTTACCATTATAGGTGTTTGCATCATCTCCTTTCCCTTCCATATCATTTATTTATTCATCCTCATGTTTGGTGGAGGTAATACCAGAAGAAGATGAACATGGTTGTAAATCAGGGGTTATCAGATCTGGCATTACAGAGAAATGAAAAGAACAGAATATATGTACAGCTTGGAATTTTTGGAAATGTACCAGTTTTCTTTTATTGCAGAGAGTCGGGTGAGAGGATCGCAAATTAAATCAACTCTTATATCTGTTCAGTAAATATGAAGCTACAGACAGCAGCCATTTTAGCTTAGCACAAAGACAGCATAAATGCTTCAAAAGTCACATATTCAACATCTTATGCTCAATAATAATATTTCTTAGCGACATCGGATTTGTTTAATCCCAAACATGTTTTTCAGTGGGCTGTCTGCCATGATGTGTCTTGGTAGTCTCTGCTCCCACAGTAGGCTCAGACAAGTTGCCTACGAAAAATTATCAAATCTGCAAGAACGAATTTTTTTAAAAGGGCCAACAATGTTTGGTTTGTAGAACGTGGGGGAAATATTTGATAATTACTACAAATGTTCTGTTGGGAGGGAAATTTTGAACTCTATTCACGTTTTAAGCCAAAAAAACAAGTTATATTAGGAAGAAAGAAATCATCCATCTGTTTTTCCCTTCAATATTTCCCCTCCTCTTCCTCCTCGACCGACACTTTGTTTAATAAACCCAGGGACGGCTGAGCACGCCCTCAGCGACTCTTCGCCTCAGCTGCTGATATTTGATATATTTTCGATCTCTGTGATAAATGCAGCCAATTTGATGGAAATAGTCTTTTCAAAATCACATTACGATGCCTGAGTTTGGAGACGGGAACGTTTTGCTGCCTTTTAGTGTTTGACACATTTAAAAACACACATATCATCTCATCTCACTCACGTTGTTGAGGTCTGTTCCATATTTGCGATTGAGCTCATCCAGGGTCAGCTTGTGATCATCCTGGAGGGACACACAGAAGAGACGGTGGCATCAGTCCAGTGTTTATGTCTGCGTGCGTGCGTGCGTGTGAGTGTGTATTCAATATGCCAAAGGCCAGTGACATTTATGCTGCATTGTCTGCTGACCTTTCATTTCAAAATGACTAGCTCTCACAAGGTAGAGCTGGAACAATGACAAAGAAATGTTCACAGTTTAGGGGAGAGGTTGAATGGATGGATCAGGAGCCCAAAAAAGGAAGGAAGAGAGCGACAGAAAAGAGTAGACATGTTGGTGCTGGTAAAATTACAGAAATCAAAAGTACATTTTAGGAGGACAATTTTAAGATAGAAGTATGGAGAAGTAAAGACTGTAATGGTTCCAGAAATCTGATGGATTTATAAGTGTAAAGAATAATAAAAATTGTATGATTTTATTCTTGATTCTTCATATTTTTAGTTCATGTATCCAAGAGAAATCTGGCAAATGCATGAAGAGAGAGGTGAGAGAAATATGAGCAAGAGCGGGAGACGGTGGAAAAATCAAACCGAGACTCTCACCATATCCACTTCCTTCTTCAGCTCGTCCATGTCCTTCTCTTTCTTCTTCCCCTTCCCTTTCTTCTTGCCGCCCTGCTCCGAGGTCGCAGCCAGCTCATACTGTTCACGTCCTTCCTGGAAACACGATGAAGGGGGAATAAAAGAAAAATATGAGAATCCCAATGTCTTCCTTTTCAAAGTCAGTTTTTGTATTAAGTGATGAGCAAGTACAACAGGTCCTTCAACCACAGCAGCCTGAAGGGTCAAATAACATTTACCTGTTGTCATAACAACTCTTTTCACAGGGAATGAGCTGGTTAGAAATAAATACAAGTGAATGTTTGATCAAATGTTTGAATGTTTGTATTTTAGCTCGGCTTCTGTCTCTCGTACAAACACATTCGTCTCATAATAGTCTTAAATCTGTGCCAACATAATCAATACTTGGTTAAGTTAAAAAAGCTATTTCTTTTTACATCAAAGTCCCTTAAAACAAATCCTTTTGTGGCCATTTAGATTTAAACTTCTTTGAGTCGTAATAGGGGACTGATGAGCAGAAAAACATATTTGAAGGAGCAGGGGAATGCCTACTTACACCTATGAACGTTCCCATTGGACGATACTAGCTGTCAGTCACACGGTATCATTGCCACAGTGAAGTGCTTTGGCCACAATTTGCGACCTGAGCACAACTGACATCTGATGACTCCATTTGTCATCCTGCATCTTTTTAAGCTTCCATGTGGGTAAATGCACTTAGAACCAGATATAAACCACTAAACTGCAAACTTCAACAGTCCAAGAAGAGAACAGAAGTTCCTCTTAACTCGTCACACAGAGTTAGGGTGAAATATCCATGGGCCTGTCAGATGCGCGGAGAGTGAATAAAGTTTTTCATTCAGGCTTTATCATCACCACTGCCATCTGTCGCTGCAAACAGATCTCCACGGGGAACCACTTTTTCAGAACATGCAAACTTTTTGAAAGACTTTTTAAAACTCTTCCATCAACAAGATCACTTGCTTTTATGGTTCATGTGGAGACACTTTTGAGTAATTCATGCAGAATCGAAACATCGATTTTTTCGTTTTTGAACCCACTTGATTTTCACTTGTTGCAGGTTTTTCCAATTTCAGACTAAACCACAGATGTTAACCTACTGAAATAAAATAATTTCTGAGGATCAGTAAAAACTGGTCACTTTGACCGTCTGCATCGAGGGAGGAGCAGGAGTCATGGTGTTTCTGGTCTGTTGAGAGATAAGAGCCTGTTTTTATCATGTCGAGGCAGATTAGGCAGCTGCATGACACAAATTTCACTTGTTTAAACAGCAATGTCTCAGCCTTAAATACATAGAGCTCCATTCATTCACCAGCTTTACCACTCAAAACCTAACCGATGAACTACCTCAGCCAACACCCAGAGTGGAGTCATTCACTGGTTATCACACCTGGGGACAGTTTGTCACACAACTGTTCTCACTTTAGGCAAGAAAAACTTTAATTACACAGAGAAGGTCTTGGTAAAGACCTAGATCAATTAAAAATAATAAAACACACTTCAGGTACAGAAATGTCCCTTATCTGTGCGACTCGTCTCTCTCTCTCTCGTCATCCCCTGTCACTTTAGCACACCCTGTCCTCTCCGCTGGCTCCTCAACAGACATCACCCCCCCTTCTCATTATCAGCAGCCGCTGTAGCCGACAGTGCAACAAAAGGCCCGGGCAAAGATAGTGTCTTTCAGACGGCTGTAAGCCAGAGGGTGTGGGAGACAGAGTGACAGAGAGAGGGTGAGATAAAGGGAGGGGAGAATAAGGAGGTGAGACGAGAGACGAGGGGAGAGAGGGTGGGGGGGGGGGKGAAGTGAAATTTAAAAAGACGAATACTTGCAACAATTCAGCAACAGTGGGTGCTAAATGTATTAGTAAATTATCATTTTCACAAGTACATGAACTGCACACTCTGAGCACTGAGAACCATTATCATAATATATGATAACATTTAATCAATCTGCTAATTGTGATATTCTCTGCTATAGGATTGCACGACACAAAGATATTGATATTTAACAGTTGTTAGATATAGCCAATACAGACGTAGCGCTGCCCTTTGCTATCTGACAGTAGATCTTTTGCTTTAAATGTGAATGAGTATCTTTTTTGGATCAATCAATAAGTGACGGTTCAGGATGAGGTCAAGTCCGCTACCTCAGTCCAGACTGAAATATCTCAACAACTATCCGAATTCAGCAAAAATACTCCCCAGAGGGTGAATCCTCACTTCCGCAATCTCTTGATGCATCTACCAGCAACACATATTTCGGCACAGACGTGATGTTTGCTGCGGGACACACTCAGCCTCAATCTTGTGTCTATACTCATGTTTGTTCAATCCTGTGTATATCACTTTCCTCTTATAGGTTAACAGAATAAATTGGTCATAGTATATTTCATGGATTCTATAATTGATAGGATTGTTCTATTCAATCTAGAACTGATTGACTTGAAAATAGAAACTGTTGTGATGCAGTTCTATTGTTACTTTATCAAAATAGAGAAGGAAAGGAAGTGGTTGTTAAAATATCAACATCCAGATGTGACATACATGTGTTTGAGGCTGTCGCCCTAATGTGCAGCATCACTGAACATATGTAACACATGTAGGACTCTTAGCATGTGTGTGTGTGAGAGCCACAGAGGGACAGCCAAACCTGTGTGTTTCAGGTAGCTACTACGAGATTGTGGAGCTATAAGCCAGCATTGATTAGCAGTTAAGGCTCATCTATAATTCAACACTGTACAAGGATCAGAGGTGTTAGCATGTTAGCAGGGAGGGAGGCTGCCCAGTGACTACTAATGAGCCATTTGTCTGCACGCAATGCCACAGTGTGCAGCAACCATTTCGAAAACTCTTCAGACGGTGATATTTTGGACACAAAATGACCCGAGCGTGGCGCCACCGCACCGACACGACCAAATATGGTTATCATGGACGTGGTCCCTGTCACAGTAATATGCTAACTAATATGGTTTTTCTATTGCATTCAACTTTTTTCAAAGTTTCCCAGGGAGCCACCAGAGCAGAGTTTGTGATCCCAGCACATGTTGTTGTTGTTGCTCCAGCCCCCTGGTTGGTAAAGCTGGGAAAACAGAGTCAGGTCCTGGATCACGCGGCCTCTGGACCCCGAAGGGCCCCCAGGGGCCATCTGGCTTTAGGCAAATGATTCACAAACAGTGGTCCAAAACCTGAAACTGGGACACACGCTTAGTTCAGACATGAGAATGAAATTAGAGGATTATTTGAGCCTCCTTGAAATGTTTGTTTATTTATAACATAAAACTACAATAGATCAATCAAAATAAAAGCATTTAACTGCCTTAGAATATGAATGTACTACTAGATATTTAGAAATATTAAGAAATTAGATAAATATTGATGCTATAGTAACAATATTATTTTTGCAGTAAAGTAATAATTTGTTTGTGAGTTATCATAACTGTCCAGGATGTGATCAACTTGCAGACAAAGATTTATTCTGCAAAATTTTCTTTGTTTAAATAAAAAATTAGTACATGTCCACAATCCTCCAGTTTCAGCTTCAAAAATGTAAATAATTCCCATTTTTATTTGTCATGTATGATGACAATGCAAATTCAGGCCAGTTGCAGTCCCAGTTAATAATTTAAAAGTTTTACACATCTGAAGACTAATCAAATAAGATAAGTGAGGCGATCAAACAGCGATCAAACACACGCTCTTTGGTGACCTGAAGTGTTTGCATAGCGACCAATAAGGCCTGCACAATCCAAACACATGATAGTTTGAGTGCACCGCTGAAATGCCACAATAGAAATGTTGAGAGCACATCGTCCCCGACAAGCAGACTCCGAGGGGTTGATATTCAAACATTAAACTAAGCTGCTCCCATGCACGTCGAGACGAGCAGTTGTTTAAAAGAAGTGACGAGCTGGAGCCACAGCGTCACAGCCTCACCCCCGCATCTGCTTGTGACATTTCCTTCAAAAGACAGAGCAAACTGGAAAAATCAAGTTACCCAGTTGAGCAGTCTCAAAGCGTGGCCTCGCACGTCTACCACCAGCTCTGTTCACTCCATCTCAGCTTTGGATCGGCGAGTTTTCGGCATTAGCATCTTGGCATGTCGGTCCAACACCAATATGCAGCTCTTCTACCAGTCAACAACTTTAAAAGGACAAAAACATTTCTCTCACGGTTTTTGAACTTGCTGCTTAGTGACTGCACACGTGGTAATTACCAGATTTGAGGGAGATTCCCCATTTTAAAAAGAGACGGCTTCACTTTTAACAAACGAGACAAATCAAGTCGTGTGAGACCGCCTCGCCCTCAGATGAGCTGTACTGAGGCCTGTCAGGGGTTTCGTCTCGTCTTCGGCACGCTGCACAGAAATGAGGGCAGCCAGTCCATACCACTTCCTGGTGAAATGTTTATGACAGCACAGCACATGTCACTTGACTGATGCTAAATACATTTATTTTATGATGAAAAGTGTTTTAGTTTCATATCCAAAATAATCCCCATCCATACAAGAAAATTCATCCATACAGAAAATAAAACGGATTGTGGACCACATCATAGTTTCCAAACCTCTCAGTTTTTCCAAACCTCAGTTTTTCCAAGCTGCTCCATCGTAGCTGCTGGAAAACTTCAGACTCGCATGGAAGGCAGGTGAAGGTGTAGCGACAGAGATGCGTTGTGTGGATGTAGCCGGACTACCACTTAGATATTAGAAATCAGATGCTGAGCAGAGTTCTTTTTCTGGGTGTAAAAAGAAGGCCTGAAAGCACGATTTAGATTTTCATGTTTGGAAATAAAATGTAAGCATCAACGACCTCAGCGTTTTAAGCTCTCAGGCACAGCTCTGGTTTATAGTATTAATAACATGGACACCATCTTGTACAGAACATCATAGCCCACATATTTTTGGGATGTTGATTTGGCAACACTGCAGCACAGCTCAAAGCCTGGATACTTGCACTAATCATCACGCGGGATGCTTCAGCTAGCTTTTCATGCCCAGTGCTGTGTTAAAGCTGTTTGAGTTCACAGATCTGATAATGCTCAATATTTTACAGAAAGCTCTTGCAGCAGAGAAGATG